GCAGAGGGGCTTTTTGTCCTCCCCTGCGAGCCCCTTCCATGGCAAAGCAGGCTGCAGGATAGGGGGAACGGTCCCGATAGTCCTTGCTCCATGCAGGAGAAACGGCGGGATCAGGGAAGGCGCCAATTGCTCAGGGGAGTCAAAAGCTTCGTGTAGACGGCAGCCCTAGACCTAACAAGTGATAGCGCCGGGCTTTGCTGTGCAGCACTCAGCAGATCGTGTCCCCTTCTCCCGTCAGAAATGTATGTGAAGGGGCAGCTTTAACCTCAGCTCCCGTCCCAGGGCCGCCGTTCTGCTGACCCAGRGTGCTAAAACTTGCTGCAAATCACAGCCTGCCCCTATGGCAGCAGCCGCGGCGAGGGGTGTGAGCCGAGCCCCTGCCCGCGGCGKCGCGCCCGCAACGTCCCACGCTTTGTGCCCCAAGCCGGGCGAGAAGGGCGGTCCGGTTATTACAGCTCACACTGAACCGGCCTCCCCTTCTCCTGTCCTCTGCCGGGCTAAAGAAGGAAGCGCTGCGACGAGCGCCAGGAGCAGGGTGCCCGTGCCTGCGTCCCTGAGCTCGCATGGCTCGTTGGGCCGGGGCAGAGCTGCCCTTGGGGCAGGGGCTGTGCAGGGCTGAGCCAGCCGTGCCCCACGGGCACAGCCGGGCAGCGTTTCACAGGCAGGACGAGCCCGGGCAGCCCGACCTGCGGCTCCGTGCGGTGCCATGTGGAGGAGCGTGGGGAGGGCTGCRGCGCTTGCCTAAATGGTGATTTCTACCACTGTTCCCTATGGGAAACGTCTCTGGTTTCCTCCTGGTGCTATTACCGGTTCAACCTCGCTGGTATTCACAGTGCTGGGCTCTGGAGAGCCAGTTGTTCGCTGCCTCCTGGCAGGTTTTGCCCTTCGCTGCTCAGGCCAGCAGTGCTGGGGCAGAGGAGCCTGWGGGGCTGATGAGGAGCTCTTGGTATCAGGGCTAAAGTGCCCATGGAGCTGAACTGGGCCAGGCTGGGGAGCGCTGGGCAAGGGGGGATGTTTGCAATACCCTCAAGACAGAAAAGGCCTGGGCAGGTTGTGTGGAGCTCACAGCAGACAGCAGTGCAGCAGGCACAAGAGGAGGGATGCGAGTCATCCCTGTGCCCCAAGGCCGTTCCTGCTGCTGGAGGGAGCCCTCAGGATGGCCGTAAGGGCTGGAAAAGAGCCGCTGGCCGCGGAGTGGTGCTGCCCCTTTCTCACCTTCCTCTCCTGCCGCAGGGGCCGTCCCGGCATCGCCTTCCCACAGCCGTCATGCAGCTCCAAGAACAACACATGAGGAAGGGCTGAAAATAATTGCCCGGTCATTTTTGCCTTTCAGAGAAGGGAATTGCTCTTGTGGGGAATTTTTGTGACAAGCGGAGATGGCTAATGGTCAGCAACCCAGTGAGTCAGGCCCTGCGCCCGGCCCTGCCCCGCTCTGCAGCCWGCCTGGCTGCAGCCCCGACGCTGCTTCCCAGCGCGGCCAGGACGCTGCTGCTCCAGTGGGATAGGCACCGCTCGGCCGGGACACTGCTGCTCCCGTGGAGCAGGCGCTGGGGAGATGCCCAGGTGTCTGCTGACCRTGTAGTGCCAGCTGGGGGGCTTGGGGAAGCATCTCGATCCAGCAGGATCCACCACCTGCTGGACGGCAGTTTGTGGTCTCCGGATGGCTGGGCATGTGTCCTGAGCACTGCTGMACCCTGCTCCCGCCGGGAGTGAGCCCTGCTCCCAGTGATGGGTTTTGTAGCACTGTGGAGGCATCTGCAAGCCTCCCAGGCCCATGGAGCACACCTGCGGTTTGCAGAGCCAGCCCTACACAGCAGATTCCTGGGAGTTTTAATTGGCTTTTTCCATCTCCAGCTGAGCAGCTCTCACCAGTGAAGGTCTCCACTCCTCCCTGGCSCTGTAGGTATCATCTGTGAGGAGCTGCTGGGCCAAAAGACCCCCTAAAGCTGCTCGGCTGTGTGGCCTCTTGCTGCAGTCCTTCCTCTCCTGCTGCCATAGCCCAGGCAGCCTGTGCTTTCCTGCTGCAGAAGTGCTGCTAGAGGAGGTGAGTTTAGGGCTGGAGCTGCCTCCTGGCTCTTTCTCTGTTTCCAAGGCTCACGGGCTGCACACCCTGAGCTGGTGTAGGCAGATTCCTCCTCCCATGTCTCGTCCTTGCACAGGCGTTTCCAGGCAGGCTTGAACCTCTGTGCTGCGCCTGCTGCCCCTGGCCTGGCTGCCAAACCCATCTGCTCCCGTGGGAGATTTCCGTCCCTGCTTCGCCTTCATGTTTTCCCTAGCACATGCGACMGCTGCTTGCTGATGCTGCTTTCTGTGGTGTGGCAGAGAGCAAGGAGTTGTTAGGAGGTGGCAGCAGTGCCTGGCAGCCAGGTGCCCGCCCGGCCGTGCTGTGGTGCCTGGTGTCCTYCTTGGAGGACAAGGGAGCACCTTGGAGCGGCGCAGGGAGGCGCCCGGCGCCACTGCTGCCATCCCGCGCATGCCCCGTGCCCTGGCGCTGCCCAGGCGCCCGTCGGCAGCACATGTGCCCGCCTGGCCCCTTCCATGAGCGGGCGTTGAGAGACGARGGCTCTCCTGGGGCACACGGTGTTCCCGGGCGCACGCCCAGCTCGCCTGCGCCCTGCGTAGTGCTCCGCAATGCAGCAGGGCCCCGCGGGACGGGGCGCTCCGCAACCCCGGTGCCACGCGGAGGCGGCGGGGGTTTTGCAGCCGCTGCTCTCTGCCCRGCTCGCGGGGACCCCCCGGGTCTCGCGGGGCCCCCCCGGGTCTCGCGGCCGGCGGCTAGATGGTTCCGGAGCTCACGGGSCGATGCGGTGGACTCTGAGATTCGGAGTCCGAAAGAAAGGGCTGCTGAGTCGAGTGCCAAAAGGCGCCTCCATAACCTGCGCTACGAGCCCTTCGCTACCGACTTCTGCCTYGCTCGGCACACCTTTGTTTAAAACCTTTGTTTATTCAGGGCCTTATATCCAGTATCGCAGGCTCCTTTTTCTGGCTCCGTGCTGTGACTCAGGGATGGGTTCCTGCAATTTCTTCCATCTTTGCTCYGTATCAAAGCCATCCTGGCAAGTTCAGGTTTATTGTTTGCAGTTAATGTTTAATATTCCCTATTCCTCACATCTCACGGTTGATCTTAATTATACCCTGCTAAGGTAAGAGAAAGGCACAGGGGGAGAGCCCTTGTGTGAGGGAGCTGCGCCTCGGGTCGGCCCCCGTGCCCGCCTGGCAGGCGCAGCGCAGGGGAGCAGGGTGACATGGAGCTGTGCCCAGCGCGGCCCTGGGGCTCCGCGCCGTGCCGGCCGGGCGGCCGCTCCGCACGCTGCCGTGCCATGGGGCGCCCACGCCGCCCGGGCTGGCAGTGCTGCCTTCTGAGCAAGGAAGGACGAACCTCGGCTTTGTGCATCCGGGCTTTAAATGGCAGTGGTGCAGGGGGTTTCTCCTCTTGCTGCCTGGGCTGAATCATGAAAACAAGTGAGTACAAATTAAGAAAATACTAAAGGAGGATGCACAGGGGGCTAGATGTTGGCCCTGGGCAGATGCTGCTGGTCCCTTGGGGCAGCTGCCATGGAGCAGAGCAGAGCCCTGCGCTGCTCCCGCTGCCTCCCCCAGCGTTTGTGCCGCACGCAGGGTCCCCTCCRGCTCCGGGGCCTCCCGCCGGCAGCCGCCTGCCCTCGGCTTTGTGCCTCGGGCTATAAATACCGGCGTCGCCTGAGGGGCGGCCTGACAAAAGGCACAACCCGACACGGCGTCTCCCTCCTTCCGAGTGACATTTTGTGAAATGCCAGTGGGGAGAGGGGCCGCTTATCTGCTGGCACACGCCGCGGTGACCTTCACGGCGCTGGCCAGGTGCCYCCACGCCGTATTTACCCTTATTTATAGCAGTCCCCTCGGTGCCCACCTCTGCCCTGCGCTGCTCCTCCATGGGGAGCTGCGGTCMCCTCCATGGTGCCTGGCCTGGGCCCTGTTGGTCCCTGGGGTGACTGGGAACCCTCCTTGGGAGGCAGCTCGGCTTGCCCTCCTCTTCCTCGCGCGTGGTGAGTGCTGCGTGTTGCCGAGCAGGGCTCGGGTGCCAGTGGGTGCGTGAGGGCTGGCGGCCGTGCCCGTGGTGCCACTGCTGCCACGCTCACCGTCCGGGCAAGAGTCACCAAGTCTATCTGCCTGCATGGCCCTAATCTGTGTTTCAGGCAGCCAGTGACTACGGATTTCCCCGATAAGCTCGGGCAGCTCCCTCCAAACCGCTGCCTGCGGATCTGATTTTGGAAATGCGTTTTGGAAAGAGGCCTGGCGTGCGGGTGGCCGTGGGGAAGCTGTGCAGGGCAGAGGGGAGAGCTGAGGGAGCCGGCGCGTCCCCCTCGCCATGTTCTCTCCCCTGGGGCTGGTTTGGGTCCCAGSCCAAACGCCGCGGGCTGATTAGGGGCTCTGTGCCGTCAGTGCGTGCRTGGATGTGTATTTATCCCCTAGTGCTTTGAGGAGGCATTTGGTTGTGGGGCGGGAGGAGGCTCTGCACACAGATGAGTCACTGCTGCTGTTCCCCTGCAAGTAGATGGCCTGCCTGTGCCTGGCTCCTGCAGCCTTCCGAGGAACCTCTGCTGTCCAAACAGAAGGGGGAAAAAGAAAAAGGGAAGAGAGCAGCAAAGTGACATGTGAGTGACAAGGCAATTGCAGAGCATCCTGAGGACACTTATGCAAATRGCAGCGTAAATCTGGCCTTCCAGGCTGAAATGGGATTAAGTTATTGGGAAGCTGCTCGGCTCCCTCCGCGGTGTTTCAGCGCCGGAAGACTTCAGAAGCTCAAACTTTTGCAGCCTCTCTACGCGTGAGCACCGGCATGTGCGATTGCCCAGGGTGCTCCCAGCCTCGCTGCAAAATACTTGGCCACAACTTCAAGGGGCTGGAAGCAGCGCTTTTCTAGATAAGGGAAATTTCCACCCGTGCTGCTCTAGGGGCAGTGAAACCCCTGCAAGTGCCCTGTGCAGTGACRTGGGGAATGTGCCCGTGGGAAGGGCGCGATGGAGGAGAAAGCCCCGGAGCGACAGGGCCTGCAGGTCTCTCCCTCATGATCCCAGCCCCTTGGACGGCTGCACTAAGCCAGCTAAGCACYTCAGGCATCAGACTTAGCTCTCTGGGCTGGTCTCAGTTTCAGCTTTGCCAGCCGTGTCAGAAAGGACGGGTTGCCTCTACAACACACGTTAGAGATCACTGCCTGATATCTCCTCATCCGTGGTGTCTGTGCCTTTTCATATATCCTCATACCCTCTCCATCCCCCAGGGATCTGGGCTGCTTGTAAGATGCCTGCTAAATGCCCAGGTAAGCGAGTGGCAAGGAGGCCTGAGAGGCTGCACTGCCCAGAGCAGCTGGCTTTGGCACGACTGCAATGCTGGCTTGCTCTCATTCGTTGCTCACGTCGTGGTGAAGCTACAGTTTTGCAAAGACCGTGTCCAGAGACAGCCTGTCTCCTTCCAGAGAAAGCATCACCACTCCGTTCCTTTCCAAGATGAAAACATGCTTCGTCTTGATGAGGCACGAGGTTAAAGCTTGACTTCTGCGGCTTGCCGCAGATAAGACAAAAACAAAGCCTAAGTGTTTGCCCTGAAGGCTGCTGTACTCCAGGTGGTAAATTCCCATTTTTAGCCTTGTGGGCAAGAAGACAGCCAACAGGCTGCCTCGTGTGGTGCTGGCTGCTCCCCAGAGCAAGCTGGTTGCAGCATCTCGGCAGGTTGGCTCAAGTACTGCCGTCCATGCAAGGTCATCACCCAGGCCCCAAACCCGCCTCTCCAAGCACTGCTGTGACTGGGAGGAGTGGTTTAATCCAAGGAGCCCAAGTTCACATTGAAAAGGAGGAAAACATTTCCTCTCTCGCTAATCCAATATTTGAATTAGAGTTGGGCTTGGAGAGAAACCTCATTTCGCTGCAGAGATAAGACCTCACATGYGCCTGTGCCCAAGTTAAAGCTCCTCCGAAGAAGAGGGAAGATCTGAAAATCAGCTTTCCAGAGGAATATCCCACCTGCTGTCTCCGTGACATCCAGGGCCAGCATTAAATCACAGCTCTGTTGAACACGGTCTCCTTGGCTGTACCAACGGCAGGTCTTCCCCACGGAGCGCCTTCCCAATCCATCGGGGAGAGGAAGCTGAACTCCGTGCCAGCTCCCCCGGCCTCATTTCTGCCAGGGCTGCTGCCAGCCTGAGGGAACGGGCCCGAGAGAAGGGCATTCCCAAAGACCCACAYGGTCTTGAGGGTGCCCTCCTGGGAGCCCCTCTGAAGTCCTGGTTGGTGACTGGCATCAGCCACTGCCTGGGCTGCTCCCTGCAAACCTCAGCCCCAGTGATACAGCAAATACCTGCCAAAAAGCTGCCAGAAAAACCCGGCCTTATTTGCTTTTGTGGGCTTCCAGGAGAAGGCCTAGAGACTTCATTGCCTGTAATGTCTAAGAAAAACTTACACTAACACTTGTCTGGAAAAGGTTAGGTACAGCCAATGCTTCCCAGGATAGCATATCAGCTAGATGACCTCTGGCAGTCCTTCAGAGGCTGTTTTGGAGCTTTGCCCCTTGTGCTTCCTCTCTGTTGCTAGTTTGGCAGCGGGGACGTGTGCGCGGTACCGGCTCGGAGCAGGGCGAGTGCCGCCGTGGGCGCCCAGGGGAAGGCTCCGGGGCTCGTGTTTTCCAAATTGCCCCCAGGGATTCACAAGGCGGGTGCTCGGAAACGCCTGCAGCCCCTGCTAGGGACACAAAGCGGGCGCAAACCTCTCAGCATGAGAGTCCTTGCTGGCCTCCTASAGCAAATCTCTGCTTTCATGATTTAAGTTATAAACTCCTCGCAGCAGGGAAGTGCTGTGCACGCTTAGTAGTAAATTAATAAAAAAATCTGATGCTCTGTCCTCTCAGTAAGCAAAGCCTACAGAATTGAAGCTCCTTGCAAAGACAAGTGCAGCTGCCTCTTTGTCCTATAATTGTGACTGCTTTTCTGCTAAAGCTGAGGTCAGAGTTGGTTCATGGTTTAAAGGAAGATGAGCAGGCTGTCTTTGAACACGTGTTGGACGGGGCTGATCACAGAATCACAGAGTGGTGCCATTGGCAGGGACCTCTGGGGATCCTCTCCAAGCTYGAGCAGAGGAAGCTCGAGCTGTTTGCCCAGGACTGTGTCCAGTTGGGTTTTGAGTATCTTCGGGGATGCAACCTCCACAGCCCRTTCCAGTGTTTGACCACCCTCACATTTCTCTTATGTTGGGCAGGAATTTTCTGTGTTTCAGTTTGGGCTTGTTGCCTGTTGTCCTGCCAGTAGACATTACTGAGAAGAGTCTGGTCCCATGCTCTTCACACCCCTCCATCCAGATATTTGTGCTCATTGACAATATCCCCCTGGGCCTTCTCTTTTCCAGGCTGAAGAGGCCTCTCCTCATATGAGATCCCTTCATCATCTCTGTGGGTGTTCACTGGACTTACTCTACTATGTCCGTGTGTCTCGTGTTCTGGGGAGCCCAAACCTGGACCCAGAACTCCAGATGAGCCCCAGCAGTGCTTGGCAGAGGAGGAGAATCTCCTCCTTCAGTCTTCTGGCAATATTCTTCCTAACGCAGCCCAGGATCCTGTTCCTTTGCCACTAGGACTCATTGCACAACCAYGTTCAACTTGGTGTCCACTAGGAACCTCAGTCCTCTGAAAAGCTGCCATCGAGTTGGTTATGGGCTCCCAGCCAGTCATAGAATCATTATGGCTGGAAAAGACCTTCCAAATCATTGAGTCCAACTGTGAACCCATCAYCACCATGCCTGCTAAGCCATGTCCTCATCCATGGGGTTATTTCTCCCCAGCTGCAAGATTGTGCATTTCCCTTTGTTGAACCTCATGAGGTTCCTGACGTTTGTGGGGARAAGCCATGTGGGGTTTCTGATGTGGGGAGATGCCATGTGCTATGAGGAGCGACACTCCATGCCCAGCCAGAGCACAAGCCTTAACAAATCTGCGCCCGGATGCCCTCCTGCTTTCAGTTCTTGGTTTCACATCAAGTTTTCTGCGGGATGCAGCCTGTGGGTCACTCCTGCTCCAGGAGGTGTTCAAGCCTTCGGTCCTGTGTCTCCCCAAAGGATGGAGGTGTGTGGCTATGGTACAGCGTCCTCGTCACTTGGCCTTGCCCCTGCTCTGCCAGAGGTGATCACACAGGTTGCAGATTCGCCTGCAGCTCTGGGGGTGCAGCCGTGCTGCAGCGCGCACAGGCCAGGTGTCCGCGCTCACGGATGGCTCCCAATCTCCAGGCGTGTCTCCATGGGTGTTTGCTGGCTGCACACCAAGAACCCATGGCTGATTTTCCTACAAAGTCCCGAGTAAAATTAGAACAAAAGTTCACTCCTCTCCCAAGGCAGCAGGAAATGGAAAGGGTGGGAAAAGAGAGAGTTAGAGCAGATGAGATCTCGTGCCCAAGGGCAGCAAGGTCAGCGCTCAGCATCTCCCGTGCCACCCTGCCGTGGCAGCRGGCCAGGAGGCAGAGCTTTTCCTGCTGCTGAGCGAGCTGCATGCCAGGCTAAAGGTGCTCCAACCGATCGATCCCCCTGGGGACTGGAGTCCTCCCGTGCGGGGCTGCTGCAGGATCCTGGCAGGATCAGCTTTCTCTGCCCCGCCGAGCTGCTCACCTGAGATGACCCCGGCGCAGGGAGCTCGTCGGAGCCGCGGCCCTGTCCTGGGTGCACCTGTGGGCTGCCCTGTTTCTGCTGGACTCCCTGCTGGACTCCCTACAGGCAGACATGACTTTTCAGGTGCTCCTGGTCCGTGCTGGATGGGAACCGGGATTCTCCTCGGCTGGGAAGTGCATCCAGCCGTTCCATTGGGATGGGCACAAGCGGCACCCTGGTGCCGGGGCCCCGGCCGCCGTCCCCAGGGTGCCGAGGGAGGGCAGCTCCGTGCCTGAGGTGGCCTTGGATTGCGGGAGTTTATTTTTACCAGCTCTGTTGCCAATGGGGACGTGTCACATCTGTGGAGTTGATCAAAAGACGTCCCAAGCACGGGTGTCAGCTGCTCCTTGTGATCTCAGCACCAGGATCTTTTCCCTTGTGGCATATCAAAAGGAGCAGGAGAATTTGACTGCTTTGCTATTTTTAATTGAATGCACACACACGCACACATATATATATGCACGTATGTATGGCTCTTCTAAAAATAAAAGCCTCTGCCTCTGTTCCCATGGGAAGATTTGGGGAGAAGGGGGAGCAAAGTTGTTGCGAGACGTTTTCTGGGGCGGGCGCGAGCGGGATGGAAGCAGAGCGGGACGTGCCACGACAGGTAGCAGGAACGTCCAGAAGGCCAAAGGACATCTGAGCCCAGAGGAGGCGCAGGATTGTTCCCCGAGCGGAGGGGACAGAGGGGAGAAGAACAGCTGGGGTAACAGTAGCGCTGTATCTGCAGGCCTGGGAACGCGGAGGACGGCGTCCACGGGCCGCTGCTTTGGCYGTTCCTTCTCCTCCTGCATTCCAGCTGCTTGAGAGCGGGGAGAAGCGTCCCACAGGGGAAGCTTTGAAAGCCTTAGCCTGGGAGCGTGCATGGAGCGTGCAGATCCCGGCGCTCTTCCGAGGCTTTGCTCTGGACGTGATCCGTGCCGTTATCCCTGGCGGCACGTTGCACGCTCGCTGCTGCCCTCGCGCCTGTAGGAGGAGCTTCYGCCCGCCCCGTCCCGCGTCCTCCCTTGCGCACACTGGCCACTCCGCAGAGCAGGGAAAGGCAAAGAGGCCCTTTGGCACGGAGGGCCTTTACCTGGAGAGCCCGAGGTGCTCTGGGCGGTGCTGCGGGCGGGCAGGGCRCTGGGGAGGGCGACGTGCCCGGGGATCAGGTTTCCCGGTCGGCTCCTGGCTGGCGCTTTGTCCTGCGCTGGCTGCTGGAGYGGGTGTCCGTGGTGACCGCGCGGAGCCCGCGGTGCCAGCCGGGCCCGGGGCGGCTGCGCGGCACTGATGGACACCGCGCCGGGCCCCTGCCCTTGCAGACCCAGGGGCGCCCGTCCTTCCCACCGCACTCCCGGGGGAAAGGGAGGAAGGCGCAGGGTCCGTGTGGGAGGTAGAGAGCACCTGCATGTGCACACAGCGCCCCGACCCCACAGGGAGCAACATCAGCATCCCCAGAACATCCCAACTAAAATGGAATAGAAAAGGAGAGGAAGAGAGAAACGCTGTCTTGTCTTTTCCATTTTTGCAGCTGATGTGAAATCGCTTTACCCTCCTGTGGAATTGCAGAGGAGACCCTTTTAGGGCACTTCAGAAGTGGAGGCCACAGTGTTCTTCTCTCTTTGCAGCCTCTCTTACGTGCTCAGATGTTTGTCTGCTCGAAATCCATTTGCTGTGTAAATAAACTTGCTTCCCTCATCACCAGAGAACTCCCTCTGGGCAGCCAATACCAGACGCGGGTGCWGCAGACCTTTCACCTCAGGGTTTGGACCCTGGGCTTGCACGTTTGGGGCAAAAGCAGCGTCGAGCTGAGGGCCTGGGGCCGGCAGGGCGCAGCGAGGGGCCTAGAGGTGCCCCCGGGTCTGTGCCCTRCCTCCCGGCCCTCCGGCATAAGGGTTTGTCCCTGGAAAGCTGGCACGGAGCGCCCAGCAGCGCTCCGGCGTGCGGYAGTGCCGCAGCACAAGGCGCTGTCACCAGCGGCACGTGCGCCGGCGCGGAGCGGGCGCCTCCCGCGCGCGCACGTGTGATCTGGGGCACGCAGGCTGGGTGGGAAGGCTGCAAATGAGCGCTCGCCCAGGGCCGCTCCTCGCTTCGGAAGTGATTTCCTCCCTGTGCGTTGCCCCGTGCTGGGGTCTGGCCCCGGCTGTCGGCAAGGGGCAGCGCTGGCAGCGCGGTGACGCGCGGGCGCCCGGGCTCTGCCCTCGCGGCTCCCGCTCGGGTGCTTAATGCAATCATTTGTTCTGCTCCTCAGAGAGCCGTGAAGCTTTATGGCAAGGCAGCAGTTGGGAATGAGGTAGAAACAGAGCAGGTCTCAGCTGCTTTCTGTGATTAAATGGGTATTTTTAGCTCGGTTCCTAGAGCTTAGATCTCCCCGTGTGCACCCAGACATTGATTCTTTTCTGTGCCATTCTTCTTCTTCTGTGTGTGCATGGGAGGTGGAAGTGATAGGAGATTAGTGGGGTCAGGGTCTGCACTGCCTTCACATGCCTTTGGGCTGGCCGGAGACCCACCTTCCCATGAAGGGTTTTCCCTGCGCGTTGGGCGTTCACTGCGGGATGCCACGTTGCAGGGATGGGGTCGAGGAGCCCGTGTGAGGGGACGGGGGAGGCTGAGCTGGCATCTTACGAAGCCCCCACCCCAAGGCCTGCCTCGTGCTTYGCTGCCTCGCGTGCTCCCCAAGTCTTTTGCCTCCCCCTGTTACTGCTCCAGGCAGCTGGGTAAGCCCTGCGTGTCACTCTTACCTCACCAAAGGCTGGGGTAGCTTAAGGTTCATTTAATAGTGCAAACAGCTTTGAGCTCATGCTTAGCAGAGGAGACAAGGCAATTCCGCTTCCAAGCTCTGCTATTTCAACACCTGCCACAGAGGGACTCCGGAGGCTTTGCTGCCAGCTGCAGGGCAGCTCTTGGTAACAACCCCAGCCAGTGTCAGGCTGCACAATCCGACTGGCGAAACGCACAGTGGAGAGGTGCTCTCCGCTCTCGTGACCGCCGGGTAATTGCCTCTCCGTGCACCATTTATCAAACATTATTTTAAAGAGCTGCTTCTGGGGTCCAGGTAATGGACTTGAGCGGTGGAGATGGTCACAGCTCCGGCTCCTTTCATGGAGCTCAACCCTTGGCTCACAGYTGGGGCCTCCGATTGCCACACGTTGCTCTAGAAGGAAGCTGCAGCCTGTGGCCGTCAGCCAGTGTCAGCAAGGGGGGCTCTGTCCCTGTGGGAGGACAGCCTGGGTGCCCCTGGGTGATCTGCAAGACCCTGCATGTGCTTGGGTCCTCCTCAAGGAGAGAGCGGCCGGGCTCACCCCTTTCTCTTCTCTCCCCAGTACGAGGTGTCTGGTGAGGAGCACCTCTACTCCGATTTCCCTGAGATTGACTTGTCCCAGTTGGATGCCAGCGACTTTGACTCCGCCAGCTGCTTCAGCGAGCTGCAGTGGTGTGCGGAGCACTCCGAGACCGAGTCCAGCCAGTACAGCACGGACGACTCCGAGCTCCTCCAGGTACCGCAGCCGCCGGGGCCCCACGGACAGTCTRGGTCTCGCTCACGGCGCTGGCTGGGGGCCACACTCGGTGCCCGCGCTGCGCCCTGCGCGTCCCATCAGCGCCCGCTGGAGCACGGGGACGTCTCAGCGTGGCGCTGGCTTTGGCGTCGGGTGCGGAGCCCTGCGGGGTTCTGCAGGCACCCGTGCAGCACAAGCCCTCCCGGCGCCGGCCTGCGCCCAGGGGCTGCCCTCTGGCTGGCGGTGGCAGCCCCGCACGGGGACACGAGGACACAGGTCAGGGGATGCGAGGGGAAGAAGGAGGCAAGGGAGGTGGCAACTATTAATATCCCTTCCTCTGCTGATTAGCACTCCATTAATTTGCTCTGTGTCTAAATGGAGCAAGTGGAGTAAGGGTAATGAGGAGGCGGCGGAGCAGGGGAGGGCTGCTGAGCCAACCCTCCTGTGATGTATTATTAAAAGGGAACGGCAGCAGCGCGGCCTGCTCCATTCCCCAGCTGGCAGGTTGTGCGGGGAGGCGGCGGGGGCGTCGTGGGGCTGTGGCATTGGGGGCATCGTGGGGCTGTGGCATCGGAGCAGCGCTGCGCGGGAACCCATGTGTCCCGCGGGCGGGAAGCAGCCCCTTTCCCCGGCTCCTGCGGGCCGGGCACCTCCGGCAGCCCTGGGGAAGGCGGCACTGCCGGCCTAGGCACAAGCCGGAGCTGGGCCGGGGTGCCTGGCAYGGGTGCCGCGTCCCTAAACCAGCGCCTGGCTCCATAGGGCAAAGCTGCCCTTTCTGCTGGCGAGAGCGGCGTGGGATGGGGGCACTGTGCAGGCCCTGGGACCAGGCTCGAGCGAGGGGCTCCCCGGGACCAGGGCCAGCGGTGCCCCAAACCCCACAGCCCTCCGTCCTCTCCCTCCGCGGGCCCCTCTGGAAGGTGCAGGAGAGCAGCTTGCTGGTGCCCGCCAGCCGCTGGCGCTGGGGCTGGGCACTGCTCACACTCTGACATGGAGGAGAATTTATTTTTAAAGCAGAAAAAAAAAAAGCCCTAATATTTGCTAACCTGGCCATAATAACAACCCTCTGGCTTTTGTGCTGTGCTGATGCTGTGCTTGAAAATAGTCCAGTCCAGCTGACGGACCTTCATCACGAGATGCATATTTTCCGCTGAACTTCCTGGGGAAAAGATAAACAGAGAAGAAATGCAAAAGGCAGGCCCATTAGGAGGAGCGGAATATGATGAAATGTATCCCACTGAACTTGTATGCACAGCAGCCTCGTGCCAATAGCAGGAGAAAAAGACACGGAGCCAAAAATGGAGTATCCTGCTGCCTTTCCCTGGAGCCTGCTGTAGTATCTTCAAGCAGGGTTAGGGCATGGAACAAAAGATATTTAATTTTCAAACAAAATAAGGGAAATGTGGGAGGCCATTTACAGTCAACAGTCCTCGCGGGGAACCTGAATTTATAGCCCCATGCTAATTTTATATCTGATGGCATCCTGCTTCTTGTTGGATGTGGTTTATATTAAGGCTGCTATGGAGGAGGACCAAGAAGCACTGGGTGCAGCCATTCCTGCGCTCCCTGCGTGGTGCCGTTTCTGCTGGTCTTGCTCTCAGGCTTTGGGGTCTGGTTGCCCCAGCTCCACGGGCCAGGCAGGGACTGGGAGTCTGTAACACATGAGGGCTGGGGGTCCCGGGGGAGCTGAGAGAGCGGCCGCAGAGCCCGGCTCAGCGGGGACGGGGTGGCCGGGAGCTTGTGCGTCTGCGACCCAAAGGCAGCTGGATTTGGGCAAGGAGACTTCTCCCTACACTCCTGCGGCCCCGTACGCTCTCCTGATGGCCTCGTGGCCCGGAGGGTGCCTGAGTTGTTGCTATTCCCACCGGAGCTGCCGGCAGGGTGGGTGGGATAGATSGAGGGATGTTCCAGCCCTTTTCCAGTTGGGCTTTCCCCCCTCTAGCCCTGTCTTATTGCATCCTCTGGGAATACCTCTCGCAGTAACCCTGGGCTCACGGCGGGACATGGGTGCTGGTGGCACAGCCGCCCACGTCCCCCTCAGCCCCGCGGTGCTGGGTGCCACCAGCCTGGGCCACCACTGCCACGCAGCGCCCGCCCCTGTCCCCAGGGTCCCTCCCCAGAGAGCAGCCTCCTGGCTCCCTCYGCTCAGCCTAATTCCCTCTCTCTTGTTCTCTGCCTCCTCCTTGCAGATAATAGACAGCGAGAATGAAGCGCTGCTGGCAGCCCTCACCGAGACACTGGACGATATACAGGGAGATGACGTGGGCCTGGCTGCCTTCCGCCCTATGGAAGAGGGGGACACGCTCCACCATGCCTACACCTCGCCCACCCCCTCCCCCAAACCCGCCGCCCCGCTCGCGGGGGGGCCGCCCCCGGCCCCCGAGGGTGATGAGCTGTCTCTAGTAAGAACCCACTTCCTACTGTTTAAGGTGGATTTGGATGAGCCCCTGATAAGCCGGCTGCATGGGTATGATAGGAAGCCAAGGTCTGAATTTTTTCATTCTAGGCTTAAAACTCTCTTTAACCGTCAATACGAAAGCATATACTTGTATTGTATACGTATACATGTTCTGCATCATTGCTGTCACCTCCATCACCATCCTCATGGGAACAGGCTGATTGCTGCTGTCTATATACAAATATCTGTACATTAAGGGGGAGGGGGCTGGGCTCTGGTGCCAAATGCTTGGTGGCTGCTTTGGCATGAGCTGGACCTTTGCCTAACCAAAGCCCGGCTTTGGGGTTGGTTCTGGGGGTTCTCTCCACCACATCCCAGCCCCATTCCCGCGAGCAGCAGGGCAGAGGCAGCCCCGTGTGGGCCGTGCTGGGGAGGGGGTCGGCTCTGCCGTGGGGGCCGTAGCGCCCAGCTGCCCCCTGCACCAGCTGGAGGGGTGCAGGGCACCCGCCCCGAGTACCCCCATGGGGACCCTGCAAGAACAGGGCCCTGGCCCYGCTCCCGGCCAGGCCCAGACAAGCAAATGGGCAGGTGGCCCCGGGGACACGGGCACCCGGTGGGTGGGTGACAGCCTGGTGGCACCTGTGCCTCGCGTTCCCCCCTCGAGACCCCCCAGTCCTGCCCCAGGTCTCCCCAAAAGCCCTGGTTCCTAGCGGGGAGGAGTGACATCCAGTGGTGAGAACGTGCATTTCCACCTGCCCCGGCCCCGCGCGGGCGGGTGTATATATCACACGCAATATGTATGTGTATATATAGGATGTATACGTTACAGGGCGGGGAGGGAGAACGGCGCTGGTTGCTTCTCCCAACGGGAGCTGCAAGCGGCAGGYACCCTGTGAAGTGTCCCGGTTCCCTGCCCAGGAGCCTCCTCTTCCCGGGGCTCTTTCACAAGCCCAGGGCCTGACAAGGGGGTCTCCAAGCCAGAGACCAGGCCCTGGTCTAGATCCTAGATCCGCCTCCTCCGTGCAGCCCCATGGAGCCCACGCTGTCCTCTCGCTATCGATCTGTTGTCGCCTTCAAATTTTTGCACAACAGGGCTGGAATAAGGAATGCTGTTGTTGCTGCCTGTGCTTTTTTAACAAAAGAAGTTCTGAGCAGAAGAAAGTTATGCTAGCCTTGCCACCAGAAATAACTGTGCTGTGCATAGCCTAAGGAAAATTCCCACTCCGACCCTCTTGAAGGGATCACAGTGGAATTCTTGAAAGAATCACGTTGGGGAAGATCCTCAATACATTCTTGGCATWTCCCACAGGGGCTTGCATCTGCAGGATGCTTTGCAAGCTAATTAATGAATCGAGGCCCTCTTTGCATGTTACAGCTAAATGAGCCTTGCAAAGGGACCCAAGTGAGCTGTCCAAATCAGTCACTCATGCAAATGTAAAGTCTCTGTCACCTAAGGACAGAATTGATGGAGTGAGACGTTTGGAAGCCAAGACACAGCTTGTCTCATCGGAGTGGGGATGGTCCTGGGAAGTAAATTCCCCTGCGTGYGCCTCGTTTTCTCTCCCCCGGCCTGCCTGGGGGAGCTAATTGGAGATGCGGGTGAATTCGGCAGCAGCTGCTCTGAATTCCCCGAGCGCTGCGTGTACCTGCGGGCGCCGCAGCCCAGGGGCACCTAGGGCAGTGTGACGCATTCCTCCCTGCCCCTGATTTCCCTTTCCCTTTCCGAATCTGATGCCAAGCAAGGGAGATGGCCAGCGGTGGCGTGAGCTGTGGGCCTGTGACCCCTCCGGCCGTGGTGGCCGTGAGCCGGGCCACCGTCCTGTCGCTTGGGGGCTGCTCCTGAGCCTGGTTCTCACTGCAGTCCGATTCGTTTTCTCACCGCTTCTCTTTGCAGCTGAAGAAGTTGCTTCTCTCTCCATCGCACGTGCCTCCGAGCTGCGAGGCGCAGAGAGACGGCAGCGCCCGGCGCCCGGGGACCCCTAAGTCCAGAGCCACGCGGCCCTGCGCAAAGGTACTTGCTCGTGCTGGCGAGCGGGGCCCTGCGGGGAACGCTGGAGAGGCTCCCGATGCCCGGTGCTCGGAAACTGTCCTCCTGAAGGATGTCACCAGAGATGGGTGTTCATGGGGAGCATGAACAGCCTCCGAGCGGTGCCCATGGACCATGGGCTGCACCTGGCAGGAAAAGGGACAAAGCCAAGTCCCAGGCTGATTACAGGGGAAAAAAGCAGCGTGGGGAGCATGAAAGGGAAGAGGCTCCCGTGCGGGTCCACCACAGGCAGTCAGCCCAGTGCATTTTCTCTGTTCATTTCTGCTTTGGGCTTAGCTGGGTTATTAGCTCTTCCTCTTTACTTCCAGCTCAGGCTCAGCAAAAGTCTGGGCTTTGTTCTCCTTCAAGAAATGTTTCGATTTTGTTGTGACTCAGTGGGGTGAGGACTCTCCCCGTGTCACTGAGCACTGTCTGATGAAAATCCCTCGCAGCTCCTCATTCCCCCCTTCTCACCAAGGGACTCGCAATCAAACATGGTATCGATCAGCTGGGTAGCTTGCAGCACCACAGAGCCCAGCCTGGTCACTTAAGCTAATCTCCTGAAATCCAGCAGAAGTTGCCATCAAAGATTTTTCTACTTGGATAACGGTAATTGTGCAGTGCGTTAGGCCCAGCAAATTAGATTGCCTGGGAACAGCAGAAAAACCCTCCTACCAAAAAAGCTCATCATTTTGTGCCAGCTGCTATTGGGGAAGGACTTGGTGTGGTCCCTGCTGCCAGGCTGGTGTCTCCAAAGGAAAACCTTGGACATGGAGCAGGTAGCTCTGCCTTGGCGGCTGGTGAATCCCAAGGCCTGAGGGATCCCTGGGCCTGGGAGCAGGCTGGGATATGCTGTGATGCCAGGGAGAGGGAACCTGCCCCATGGATGGTTCGGGCAGGACAAGCMATCATGAAGACAGGTTGTCAAGAAGGGTTAGCTAGCGAAGGGCAGGGATGCCTGGCCCACACGTCCATGCAGCTCAGATCAGTTATTTATCACATGGGCTTGGTTTGCCATGTTTTTAAGAGAAGCCCAGTGCAACTCCAGTGCATGCAGCCCACTGGGCTCCTGGCGAGTCCTGACCCAACCCCAACCGGATGCCGTCTCAGATGAAGGGCTCAGAGAGATGGCCTGTTCCCCAGGGACTGTAGGCCTAGGAGTGAGGAGGAGTCTCTCGTGTAGCCCCGAGATCAGCATGTGCCCTCGTTGCGCTGTTGGCATGAGCACTGGGGCACAGGTGGTGGTTAGAGGGTGCTGGGCAGGTTGTTACCCTGGTGGCTCTTGTGTCTAGTGATCGCCCGCGTGCCGGGCGGCTCCTGCAGGGCTTGGCGCTGAGTTTCTCCTCTCTCCTCTCTGAAGGCAGAGGGTCCCCGGGACAGGAAGGCAAACCTGCAGCAGGCGCAGAGCCGCAGCTGCACGGAGCTGCACAGGCACCTCACGGCGGCAGCTCCCTGCATGCAGAGCAAAGCCCCCCATGGCCCCGAGGAGTGTCAGAGCAGCAGCCACCACCCGCCCCTGGGTGACTGCGCCCACCACGAGGATGACAGCGACTGCAGCGAGGACTCGCTGAGCTCCGGCGACACCGTCACAACCCCGACCTCCTCCTCCGAGGACAGCGCTGGCAGCCAGTTCTCCTGCGAGAGGGAGATGCACTCGGTGGTGGAGCTCATCCGCTACATGCACACCTACTGCCTGCCGCCGCGCAAACTGCCCACGCGCGACCCTGCCGACGCCAAGAGCCAGCCCTGCAGCAGCCCCTTCAAGAGAGCCAAGGCGGACGGCGCGTCGCCCACGCGCCCGCCGTGCGGCGCCGGGGGCCGGCCGGGCTGCGCCTGGCAGGCGGCTGGCACCTGCAAGAAGCCCAGGGCTTCCTTCTCCATCCTGAAGGAGCTCCTGGCTCGGGACCTCCTGTGTGACGTGAGCAAGCCATACCGTTTGAGCAAACCCGTGTACGCCTCCCTTACCCGGCCGCCTGGCGCGCGGTCAACAGGGACGGCGGCCCAGGACGAGGAGGACGCCAGCAGGTCCAGAGCCAAAACGCCGCAGGAGAAGGCAGAGCTGTGGCCCGGCCCCAAGGTGGAGGCAGAAGCCCTGCAGGAGGCCGGCAGCCTCGAGGAGGAGGCGGGGAGGCGGGCGGGCGCCGCGGGCCCGCCGGGCGCAGGCAAGGCCGCCCGCCGGCAGGACAGCGCCCTGTACGCCGTCCGCCGCTCCAAGAGACTCAACCCCGAGCTGGGCCACTGGCTCTCCTTCCTCGATGAGCTGCCCGCGGAGCCGCCTGCCCCCGGTGAGGCGGCTGAGAGCCGCGGCCCCTGGGAGGCCGCCAGGGAGCCGTCCCCGGAGAGCTTCTCATCCCAAGAGCCGGCGGCGGAGGTGGAGGTGGCGGGCGCGGAGGACGGGGATGGCGGGAGCGCCGCGCAGGCGGCCGAGCCCCGGCCGCTGCCCCCGGGCGATSGTGAAGGGGGCGATGGGGCCGAGAGCCAGCGCTGTGCCCTCCTGGAGCGAGCAGGTGAGCGGCGCGGGGCTTCCGCCATCCCGCCCGCGCGGCTGCCCCGTGTCCCGGCCTCAGTTTCCCCGTCCCTGTAGCGAGATGGGCTTCCCTTGGGCAGCCTTGGGCGCTGCAAGTGCAAAGCCCAAGACAAGCACGAGGTTTCGCCTTTGTCTGGAGGCTCCATAGGACACGTGTAACTAACCCAGCAAGGGACTGGGCCACCCCATCCCGCAGGGCTGCCTCTCCCTGCCTCATGCCCGCGCCTCGGCTTGGCTGCTGCCCCAAAGTGCAGCTCTCGGAGCCTTCCCCTACCGCCCGCGCTGCCCCTGCCCGAGCCCGCCGGTGCCCCGGCTTGGCGGCGAGCGCAGCTCCGTCGGTAATGCTGCTTCTCTCCCTGTCTTTCAGAAACACCGCGGTGTCTCACCCTGTCCTTGGCGCAAACGTAAGTGCCTGCAGAGCCTGTGTCAGCCCCGCACACGTTGCTGGGGCCGCGGAGCCGCCCCGGTGCGCCCGGCTGTGCGAGCTGGGCAGCTCACATGGAGCAGAGCGGGAGAGCTGCAGACGGGTCAGGGGCAGAGGCTGGCGCTGGGCTGGTTGCCCTGGTGCGAGGAGCTGGGGTGGCATCTGGGCCTGGGCTTGGGGCAGGCTTTTTGCACCCTGTAGGATGTGGTGCAGAGATGAGGCTGTGACTCTTCCCGCTGTGGTGACAGCCAGGGCACGCCGCTCACGCGGGGCCCTGGGCCCGGTTGCGGCCGTGCCCTGCTGAGACTGCTTGTCAGCTTTGGCCACGTCACAAAGCCCTTTTGCAGGCCCAAGGACTGCAAGCCTCTTTTTTTTTTTTTTTTTTTTTGGATTGTGGTTCGTCTAACCATCTCTTCTCCCATTTTCTTCTTCCCTCTAGGGACACAACCTTTGGGAAGAGAAACTTTGAGCCAATGCTGACTGTGGAGCTGTGTGGGACAGCAGGTAAGACAGTGCTTCATTCCTACATCACCAATATTTATCCTGGGAGAAGGTAACATTGCCCTAAATTCAGCCTGGAGTCACCCAGCTCTGGTTGTACCCAGCTTGGAGGAGCACCWTGTTAGTCTTTTCTGTGCAAGGAGTCCTCCCTATACAGTAAAGCCAGGGGATTTACTGTGTGCTGCCTCTGTGCTGGGAGCTCCAAGAGCAGCTTGCAAGCCTCTGCTTTAGCAACGCAGGTGCTGGTGAACACGTTTGGGACAGGGCACATCTCTACACAGTCTGGGAGTGCAGGGAGAATCCACTGATCCTGTTGGTACCAGACATCCTTGTTTTTCCCCAAATTGCTGTTTGAGGAATGAGGCCACAGAGGTAGAGGTTGAGGGACACATTAAGGGAGGGTTTCCAGAGCAGTCTCCTTCCCAGACACATCTGGCCCAACTCAGGTGTTGGGATCAGACAAGGTGTTAACACTCCATACAAGTTGTGTGGCAGAGGGAAGGAAGGGCTTGGCCAGAGGTGTGTCCCTTGGCACAGCTCAGAGTGCCCACAAAACACCTCGAGGTGGGAAAGGAGGGGGACTGAGAAGGGAAAAGCCTTCCCTGTGGTTGATGCTGGCCTCTAACTCATTGTTTCCGATGGGCCTTTTGAGGTGAGGAATAAGTAGCAGGCACTGACTCGCTGTGGGGCAGTGTCTTGGTCCCCTCTGGAGACTCCCTGGCCCACTTCTCCCAACACAGTGCAGTGCTGCATTGATACAAACTCTCCTTGGAGGGTTGACTCTTGTGGTTTGTTCTGGGGGATTAAGGTCTCACACCGCCCACCACTCCGCCATACAAGCCAGCTGAGGAGGACCTGTACAAGCCAGACATCCCTCAGGAGGCAGGGAAGGAGAATAGCACCAYGACCAGCCCCGGGATCACAGCAGATGCGGCAGCTCCCCGGAAACCCCTGAAGAAGCACCCTGAGAGGACGGAGCTCTTCGCGCACCTGAGCCGAGCTGCCGCGTGCCCGGCTCTCCCTGAGCAGCAGGGAGTGCTGAAACGGCCCTTCTCGCGCTCCTTTGGGGACCACGACTACTGCCAGGTCATGAAGCCTGAGGCCGCTCTCCAGAGGAAGGTGCTCAAGTCCTGGGATCCCCCAAGCCAGGTGGAGACTGAGCACAAGAGGAGGGTCCCCGACGCACATTACCAGGGGCTGGACCTCAGCGGCAAGGAGATGAGCAGCGAGATCTTGTGGAAAGATGGCTTCAAGCAGCTGAGAGACCAGGAGATCAGAGCCAGCTTAACCAAGCACTTCGGCTTTCTGGACAGTGCTCTTGATGATGAGGACATGGCCTTCTGCAAGACTCCTGAGTATGACACTGTCTTTGATGACAGCTGCAGCGAGAGTGGCTCTCCAGTGGAAGAGGAGGAGGAGGAAGATGAGGAAGAGGAAGAACACTGCGATAGTCCACTGGACACCAAACTTTGCCTACGGAGAAACCCCCTGTCCAGGAGCAGCTTGCACTACTGTTCTCGGAGCAGATCCAGCTCGGGGTCTTCGTGCTGCCGGTCCCGGTCTCCAGCAAGCAGGCGCCCCTTCAGGTACAGGTGGGCACTGACAGGGACTGGGGCCCTTTTGGCAGCAGGTCTCTAGAAGGCAGACGGGGACAACACTTCAATGAGAGAGATGCAGGACAGAGCACTTGACTGCCCTCTCTGTCCTGGCTCTGACATAAACTCTGCATGAACCATCTCCCATAAAATCCCTGAGGGGGGTAAATAAGGACTGACCATTCATTGTCCTTTTTGACGTAAAAAGTGTAAGGTAGTAAATGGAAATAAGAGGGTACAGGTTCAAACTAAGCGCAGCCAAGTGCTTCATCACACAACCTGCCTGCATCTGTGGAGGATGCGGAAAATTGGCCCAGGGTCAGGGGGAGGCTGAATCAGCAGAAACAGGAAGCCTGCCAAGAGAAGAGAAGTATATTGTGAGTGGCTAAATATACGGAAACCAGAGCAAGAGCTGCAGGCAGAAGTATTGGGGGCAGTTCTTCCCTGGTAGCTTCTTAGAAACCTGCTTTCGGTCACTGCTTGAGACAATGCTGGGTCCTCAGCATTACCCAGTATGGTCCTCATAGTCGAGGAGATCAGAGCTTTCCTGAAGGAGTATTGAAGGCTCCTGTTTTAGGCACTAGCTCTGAGGCAGCTTCACTCGGGTTTCTCTGTGCACCCGCACTAGCGTGATCCATGGTCCAAGCTCTAGCCAGAGGTACTGCCTGACTGTGCAGGGTGGAGCAGTTCCTGGGGCAAGGGCTTGCCATGGAGTCCCTCCCATGTCCGTAAATAAGGATTTCCCAGTGTCTTCAGTGTCACAGAAAGTACAAGAGAAAGTGGCCCGATCAGAACAGCGTCACCCTTTCTGGCTCATCCCCTCCAGCTCTCTGTAGCTGCCCGTGTTTCCCAAGCTCCTGCCTGCCCCTGCAGAATCCACTTTGCCTCAGTTTCCCTCAGGTGTTTGAAGCTTTCCATGCAGGATCCTCTTTTGGGGCTGAACTCCTCTCTCTCACTTCACAGATGTGAGAACAGCGAGCAGTGTCAAGGTGGCAACGCGAACCGGGGCCAGGTGGAGAAGAGGAGAGAAAAGGCCATTGTGAGTGACCTGCGGGCACCGCGCTGAACGTGGGAAGTGGCCCCGCTTCCAGGGGCAGCAGCAGGGAAATACCCGTGTCAGCACCAGGAAAAAGCAATTCACAAGCCCCAATTCATCTCCTGCTCCAGGAGAGAGGTGGTGGAGCACATAATTAGCCCTGGCTTCAGCATCCCTTGATGCAAGGCCAGTGCTGAACCAGGCCATGGCAGGGAGGAATCTAAAGTGAAACAGAAGCAATTGGAAATTGGCAATACACAGAGTCCTTGGCACAGGACTGTCCAGAGCATCCTACGTCAATGCTTCCACGCACTTGGAATTGGCAATTAGGGTGGTGAAGGAGGGGAATCCCTGAAATTGCTAAGCTATTAGTGATGAAAGCCATGCTGCAGAGAGAGAGCAGCAGAGGCACATGGCACCTCCGCGCGTGTGTGTGCATGAGTGGTGTCTGTGCGTGCAGGGAGAGAACGTGTAGTTCCTGTGTTCTCCTGTACACACATATTCACACACTCCCTTCTGGCATTTTTTCCTGGCACCACGATTGGATTCTGTCCCCAGAAATTCTCAAGAATATTTCCTGACATCTTAACGTAGGAAAACGAGGCTTCAGGAGAAATCTGCACAGGAAGAAAGGCTGTATGGCTGCTTCAGGCTGGCTGGAGGCCTGTCTGAAGAGACGTGTCATATGCTGAGCCCTACAGCAGAGATTGTCTCTGAGCCATACCTAGACTAGCCATGCACAGGTAGCATTGTGCATCTCAGGAATTACAAACGGGGCCAGTGCAGGGCTCAGCCTGCACATGGCAGCCCCGTTGAAGCCCGATTTCCATCGTGGGTGCAGCAGTGCTGCAYTGCCAGGGCAGGTGGGCTCCTTGGAGACCTGCATTTCCATCATCCGTCAGCAAAGGCGGAGGCTGGGCTCGGGATGATCCCTAACCACTTGCCTTGTGTTTGCCAGGGGGAAGGCAGGGTGGTCTATATCAGAAACCTCTCCAGCAACATGAGCTCCAGCGAACTGAAGAAGCGCTTTGAAGTGTTTGGGGAAATCGTGGAGTGTCAGGTCCTGTCCAGGACCAACAGGTAGGCACTGGGAAGCCTGCAGAGCATGGGGCAGCTCTATGTCTGCCCTTCTGCTCTCGGGCTGCAACAGCAAAATGCAGCCCCTCTCTCCTGGTAGCAATAGCAGCAGCTGCTTGCAGACTTTGCATGCTCACCTGTGCCCTCAGCTGCAGTGTGTGAAGCTGTCAGGCTGCTACCTTTTTGCAGCTGGGATGAAATGCTCTCAACAGGTCCAAATCCAGAGGCCCTTAGTGACCCAAGCTGTGCTGCACCCAGCTCTCTTCCATTGCAGGAGGAGGAGGCTCAGCATGTCCTTCTTCTTAGGGCAGTTTTCCCCAAGTAGTACCTGTCCCCACAGCAAGACTGGCCCTGCTCAAGAGCTGGCTGGTGCAGGAAGGCACGATGCCAAGAGATGAGGGCCTGTGGGGTCTGTTGCATCTTGAATTCTTTCTCTGGTTGCTCAGGGGGGATAAGTATGGCTTCATCACCTACCGGTATTCAGAGCATGCCGCCTTATCTCTGAAGAATGGCCCCTCACTAAGGAAGAGGAATGAGCCTTCGTTCCAGCTCAGCTCTGGTGGCCTCGGGCACTTCTGGACCAGATACGTTGACTTGGGTAAGAAAACAAGAGCTGGTTTGTCAACAGTGTCTTGTTTATCAGTACAGAGTTGTGATGGCAGGTTGTACTTTTGAACCCTTGTCATGAAGGATCCCCAACCTCTTTAGAGACTGTAATTAAAGCCCACCTCCTCTCATATGAGTCATGTAGCTGTTCTTAGTTTCCAGACCCTTAGAGGCTGAGCTAAGGTGTTGAGAAGAAAAGCAACTTGCCTGGAGACCCAGAGTGCATTTGCTGTAAATAACATCACACCCCAGAAGCACCAAGCTTCAGCTGACACTCTAGCCCATTCTTCCTCAGCTGTGTTTCTTCTGGGGTTTGGATATTTTCCAGCAGAGAACTCCCTTCCCAGTTATGGGGGAAAGCAGTTCTTAGCACAAGAGTTGATGTGTTTTACTGCCCCGTAGGACAGATTGACCACATAGGGAAGGTCCTTTTCACCCAGAATAACTACTTGGATGTGCTGTTTGTGCTCAGGCAAGCACATGCTCTGTTTTCACTGGAGTCCCTGCCTCATTCAGTCACAAAGTCAGCCAGGGTCTCATTTTATCTGCTCATTCAGCAGGTGATAGGGGCTTACGTAAAGCACAGGAGCAAAACCCTCTGCTAGTGCTGAAAGAGCAATGTGATCTAGATAGTGTTTAGTCCTTGTTACTGTGATCTTCAGGTGTTCCACAAACACCATGCATTTATTTTTATACTCTCTGCAGGAGGTGAAGGGGTTGTTATCCCACTTCATGGATGAGTAACCGAGGCCCAGAAAGTAATGCTATAAGGCTTGAATTATCTCGATGTCCATTGTGACACCAGTACTGCCTGATCCTTCAGCACCTTCTATTTCACCTGTTCAGAGCTGGTCTTGCTATGGTTTTGGTTGTGAATGTCCTTATTCATCCAAATAAATCCCAAGGTCTCCTATTTTGGGCCCTGAGAGATAAGAAACAGGTAGTGCTCTGTGATGAAAGTGTTGGCAAATGGTCATGCAGTGTCACTGGAAGGGTGGTCAAGGATGGCATGTACCTACCTGCCTTCCTGCTGCAGGAGAACCCCTTGCAGCCCCAGCCCTGCTCTTCCTCGTGGGCTGAGGGCTGCAAGGGCCACAGTCACCTCCTTGCTGCCCTCAGCCTCACATGTTCTCAAAACCCCATTTGTCTTGTGTATTGGATGAGATGGAAAAAGCAAAATGAAGTTACGGCATTAATGTCTCTATCAAAAATACACACAAACACAGAGCTGAAGCCACCATAAATTAGGCAATGTTATTCCTGGCATTTCCTAATTTTCCTGGGCTTTGTGATGGCACTATCTGTTTATCATTAGCCTCTGAAATGAGAGATGGGGGAACTCATCAGGCAGACTCTAGTGCTTGTCGCAAACATGGCTAGATGATATGAAAATTCCTATTTTTGGAGGCTCAGAACTCATCTGGATCTGGTCTGTTTCTTGTGATCCTGGGAGCAGGTGTCTGGCTGATATGTGGTTGCAGTGCTGGGCAGCAACAGAGCCTGTCTGCCAAGCAGCTGTTTGTTCCTTCCAAATAGGAGAGAAATGGCACATTTTTCTGCTTTAGCTCATTCTTGGACACGTAACTGTACCCAAATGTCCCAAGAAAAAGTCAGAGTCAAGCATCCTACTTGTGAAATTCTCATTTTGATGGCTGACACCACAGTTACAACCCCTGGCAGCGTCCTGCTGTGGGCAGCATGGGGAAGCTGTAGCTCGAGGGTTTGCTTAGAGGCTGCAAATATGTCCCCAGTGTGCCTCAGTTTCCCCACCTGCTGCAGCGGGAACGTGTTGGTGCAAGCCCAAGGCACAGGAAGCAGCTACTTTTCTCCCCAAAGATGCCCAGCCTGGCAGGGCCGGGGCGCCCGGCCTCCCTGACCTTGCCATGTTGTGTCCCTGTCATTCCCAGATTGCAGCGCAGAAGAGTCTGCCCCAGCTCCAGTGAAAAGCAAGTATGAGACCATGGATTTTGACAGCTTGCTGCAGGAGGCCCAGCTAAGCCTGCATCGATAACAGCCTTAACCTTGGAGGAATACCTCAATACCTCAGTCAAGGCACTTCCAATATGTTTACGTTTTCAAAGAAATTATTCAGTCTATGAAAAGCGCGAGAGAGAGAGCGAGAGAGAGCACGCACGCGAGAGAGAGACTGCTGTCCCTTTCAATCGATGTTTACATTGAACAAAGCTGCTTCTGTCTGTGAGTCCCCATGGTGTTGATGTCTCACTGCCACACATTAGTCTCCCTGCTTCTGACTGGTTGTTTTAGGGTGAGCCTAGGAGCCCTTCTGTTCCCTTCCCCGTCCCCTGCCCCGTCTTTCCCGGCCCGTGCTCCCGCCATGGAGTTGCAGCTGTGTTCACCATAACATTTTTGTCCGTAGTGTGTGATGATGAAATTGTTAATTGTGAATAGAATCAGGATTATAAACTAATTTTTAATAGAAGAAGAAAGAAAAAAAGTATATACTTAAAAAAATGTATTTATGGCTCAGATGTACTGTAATTCAGATTTATTGTATCGCTTCCTTGATTTTTAACTATGCACTGTAATGAGGCACTTGCCACTGAGCAAATGGGGGGGTCAGGGCAGAGTCACAGGGCCAGCGCGTGCCAACGGGTGGCGGAGGTGCCTGGCAGCGAGACGAGGTGCTCGGCACCCACAAACGGGCCCTTCACTTTGCCACTGAGCTGCTCTGCTTGGCGGGGTGGCCAGAGCCCCAGGGCAGCAGCTGGGGCGCTCAGTGCTGGGGCGCTCGGTGCCGCGGGGCTCGGCAGCGGGTGCAGGAGCGGGCAGCCCGGTGCCCTCGCGCCGTGCGCGGTAGGTGAGCGGGGTGCGAGCGCTGGAAGGCTGCAGCCCCGCGAGCCCTTCCTGAGCGCGGTGCTGCCGGCGTGCGCGGGGCTGCGCTCGCCTCGCTGGCAGCAGAGCTCAGCGCAGCGGATCTGGCTGCCCGGCAGCCCYGGCAGCCGTGGGGCAGAGCCGCTTGCTGAGGGCTCTCTTGCCCTGTGCGCAGAGAACCAGGGTGCCAAGATCCTTCTCGTCATCTCCGCCTGGCAGCAAGCCCCAAATCCACCCGCGCAGCCAGGGGGGGACACGGCAGCTAAGCTGAACATCTCTGCCCCTTCCTACGTGCTGCCCTTTCTCTAAAAGCCATACACTTCTCCAGCRCCAGGTTGGCGACCCGGCTCTTCCCCCGTGCCCGTCTTGGCCGCTCTCTGCTGTCCTCTCTGTCCCCTCGGCCAGGGCTCCTGTCTCACAGTGTGAAGGAAGCGTCGCAGCTTCGCAGTGTGTTTGTGGCTCCGGGCTGGCCTGCCCGCTGGCTCGCGCTGACCTGCTCTGCCTCCCGCCGGGGGCCGCAAGGCCGCCCGGCAGCGCTGGATTTAAGGCATGCCGAAGCAGCATCCCCATGAAATCCGCTTGCAAACTTGCCCTTCATCTCTGGCAGAGCTGGGAGGGGAGAGACCCCACCACTGGTTGGAGGAAACCCAACCAGGAGCAGACCAGAGACACCATTTCCTAGAGGGAAGTGGAAATCTTGCTGGCTCCTCAAGCCATCTCCATAGTTTCCATTTGCTTTCCAGTCACAGAGACCACTAGGGATTCAGCCATCCTATGTAGATAGAATATTATAGCCTTAACTCTGCCAATAGCTAGATTAGAGTCTTCTGGGGTCTCCCCTGTACATGACTTAGGGTTTTTATTTTCATTTCCTTGGTGGAGATGTTATTTCATCTTACAGGGAGTATGACCAAAGTCTGCGCAATTGCATGAGATTCAGCTCCAAGAACCTAACGCCYGCCCATGAGGTCCTTTGCTCTATGGACTTGTCTGTACCACCCACAGCATAAGCTACTGTAGAGGGAGAACGAAGACCAGAAGCAAAGATACCAGCACAATTACCTGGTGATTTCTCCCTTCTTTTGTGGAACCCATGGTTCCGAAAATGACCAGCTACGTGGCGTAGGGTCCCACGGGCTCCTTGGCGAGTTGCCCTGCTGTTCCCAGTTCTTAGCACCACTGATAGTCACTGTCAGGRAACAGCCCTTGTGCCGTTTCAGTCTCAGCCCAGCAGCAAGGTTCAACATGTCCCCTGTGAAACAGCCACAGGCTTCTCCCCTGCATCTCGTCCCAACTTGGCGTTCACCAGTACCTCTGGCCGAGACTGAGCATCTGCTATTGGCAATTGCCTCATTGTAGCTTTGCCTCTTTCTGTCCTAGTATTTCCTCACAACGATGATGTTTACATGTGATTGCTATAGAGCTTATGTAGAATGTATATAGCGACACATTTAGGGTGGGTAGTACTGTTCTGTGCTGTGCTGATGTTTTTCAGAAAACAATCAATCAAAAAAAAAAAAAAAAAAAGAGAAAACCATAAAAAAACAGCTAAGTGGAATTCTTCCATCTCCCTGCATAGCCCAGGGCTGGAGCTCAGCCCACGGAGCAGGGCTTGGTCCAGATGGAGAATGCATCAAGCGAGACAGACACACAAGGGTTGAACRCAGCGGCCAGGGGAGGTTTGTCCGGAGCACAGAGCAGCCTCCTCCCGTGTGAATCGCTCAGTCGCTTCACAAGCACTGCTTCCYGTGCAGCCAGATTTAAAATTTCACACTGTTTTCCCAAGGCCGGACTTCCCGTGTCAGCCAGCAGCCAGTGACCTTTGCAGAGCTTCTGCGCGTCGAGTAAGGGTCTCTTGAGGAGAAAGGAAGATTTTGTAATGCACAGAGCCCATCAGTACTGCAGGCCTAGGATAGGAAGAGATGCAATAAGTGGTCCTTGTGTTGCCTGAAGCCTATAAATGGGGGGAGGGAGTAGGGTTCTTCTTTCTCTCTCCCTTTCTCTTTCTCTCTTTCTCTCTCTCTCTCTCTCCCTCTCTCTTTCTCTCTTCCTCTTTCTCTTTTCTCTCTTTCTTTTAAATTGGATGGCTTATTTTCCCTCCTCCCTTGGGAAATTGCTCCTGTTGCAGGACGTGCCCCCTCTGCTGCTGCTCGGGCTCCAAACACAGTGGCTTGTCCTGGTGAATGTAAAGGCAGAGGGGTCGGGGTGTGCTGCTCAGCTGCGCGGGCTGCCCGCCGCTTTCAGGATCGGGGGTATGTAGAGGATGCCCAACTTAAGAAGCTCAGGCGAGAATATTTACTAGGTTTGGAATCACTCGTGCGAGGTTTGTGATGAAAAATAAGTTTCGGCTTTTGTTTTTTCCTTTAATATAAAGGCTTCCTCAGCTTGCAGTGCTCTAGTGTGCACAGGGTAAGGAAGGAGGGCTTTGGCACAAGGTGCAGACGGGAGTTTCCTCCGCGCGCAGACTCTGGCCTTGTTCTGGATCCTGCAGAGGACACAGGCCGGGCCCAGAGCCCTGAGCGCTGCCCCGAGCGGCGCAGCCAGAGGCAGGAGGCACCTTGCAGGAAGCCCGTCCTCGAGCGCCGGGGCTCTGCAGGTGCAGGAGGAGCTTTAAGCAGCGCGGAGCCTGGCCCAGCGCGGAGCGGGAGCCAGCGGCCGTGTCTGGGTGACGCTGTGCTGAGGCCGCCGCAGCTCGGTGCACGTGGGCGCTGCAGCGGGCATGGGGCAGCCCACGCCTGCAAGGCCGGCGAAAAGGGGCCTCTCCCTGAGACAAGATGGGAGCAAAAGGGTGCTTTATGGTAGGCAATAAGTAAGGAGGAGATTTATTTTTTTAAGAATACCTGACTATAGAATGTGCCCTGCTAGTTTCCTTGAAGCACTGTGGGGAAATGCTAAATGTGAAGACTTTAGTGGCAAAATGCCCGCTCACTTTTTTGCACAGATTTGCCCCATGAAATCTGTTAGTTTCAGGGTGGGATACGCTGTCTTGGCTTGGAATCCAGTGAATTCCTGGGACTTCTTTGGAAAGGAGAAAGTATCTCTGAATGTCTGGGCTGAATGCAGAGGACAATCCAGGGTTTAAGTGCGATGTTGCCCCAAAGAAAAGTCTTATCCCGATTCCTGCCCTGCGATGCTTTCCGAGCTGTGTGTCTTCTGTAAGGAAGCAGCAGCTCGGTCACGAGGTTAGGCGCAGTGGTGCATGCAAAGGAGCATTACAGAGGTACAGACCAGCTTTTTGCTTTTCATTTTTGTTCTCCTTTTTTTTTTTTTTTTTCCTTCTGTTTGGAAGTACGCTGAATGCTGAACCACATCGTTGTTCACAGCTGAGCTGCGAAACCCTTTCCGTTTCAAGCATCTTCGTCCCTCCCTGACAATCTCAAGCAATATAGAACCAAATAAAGCCTTCTGGTTTGCATTCCTCTTCCTTCATCAGGCCTGGAATCAGGGAGTAGCTTAGGAAGTCTGGCTGTGACACGCCAGGTGGCACTGAAAGGGGCATTATTATTTATTAGAAGCCAAACTGAGTTCAGTACCAAGGGGGGAGGGAGTGTGTGTATGCATGCGAGAAGGAGAGAACAATTAAATTGATGCATTTCTTGAGAAAGGTGTAAGAATTTCACCTAAAAGGGGCACATCTGCTTTGTTATTTATAATAAAAGCTAATTCTTTTTTTTTTTTTTTCTTTTTTTGAGTAAAAGGACACTGCTATTAGGGGCCAATTCTGCCTCCCTGCCTCATGCTGAGTAAGTACTACTTAACTCTGTGATTCTTTTATTTGCAGAGTAAGTAAAACTAGCAGAATTGAACCCTCTGTGATTAAGAATCAAGGTTTTAGTTGATTTTTTTAGTTGGTAGCTTTTTTTTTATATTTCACTTAATTTTTTTCCCCCAGTTACGTTCCGTTGTGTCCTTATTTATGTAATATACTTTAACCTTAAAAGACGGCATGGATTCTTATGCCTTTCCTTTATTATTATTGTTATTATTTTTAAAAAGAGATTTATTTCTAGTGTGATTTAACTGTCTACCTTCTAAAACAAGAGAACGTTTTCTTGTATTTTTACATTGTCAGATTCTATAGTTTCATAGATAATTTAACCAAATCGCTCAATGTATTATCTATATCTATCCAGTGGGTATAAAAGTTCTATTTTAAATTGTGTAAATACTTCAGAACTGGCTTCTTTTTTCAGACTCCCCCTGCCGTGGAGTTACTTGTTTACATCACAAAGACTGTAGAATCTCTACGCTCATGTACTGTAAATAGTGAAGTGATCTGCCTATAAATAAACTATAACATATATACTATAAAGTGGAAAAAAAAAAAGCAACAGGTCTGTGCTGATGATACTTCAGTTTCCTCGTGCACCCTTTGTTCGGGCAGGAGGCGTTCGGGGATTCACTAAGTTCCTTCTGCTGCCGGGACGGTCCCTGTCTCCCCAGGAGGGTCGGGTAACGTGGAGCCTCCCTGGCTCGTCCCCTGCGGAGCCTCTGTCCCTGCCCTGCCTCCGTGAGCGCGGGAGAGCCCCGTGTTCTGCTTCTCCCAGTGCCGCTGGCTCGGGTTGCGCAGGGATATTCGCTGTTCAGTATCCAGCTTCACGTGGGCGCTCGGGACCCGCACTGCCACTGACGGGGTCCCGTGGTGGAAGGCGCCGGAGGGAGGAGGGCAGGCAGCCGGAGCCCCTGGGATGCGTCGCAGCGGCCAACAGGCTGGATCGCAGCAGAGCCAAGGCTGGATCGCAGGGAAAAATGCAACTGCACGGAAGAGTCCCCAGGTGAGGCTGGAAAACCATTAGGCTGAA